ATCAAAGGCTACTAGGGGTTGGGGTACACAGATAATATAAAAAAAATTCCACTATCTCACATACAAATTTTATTTATTTATTTTTATGAGAGCTCTACCTAAGAGGTGTCCTAACTCTAATAATAAACTTAAACTACAAACACAAATTGCATGGTCACAGACAACTTTATTTTCATCTGTGTATTTTTCTTTACTTTAGTAATCAATCTAACCATGGTGTGTTCTCGGCACACTTGGATTCAATTGTAAGAGTGACTACCTGATAAATTAGAAAGAGCACACCTAAGAAAAGTCTGAAACCATACAACATGCCAAGTTTGAAAACAATCTACTCCTCACCAGCCAAGATTAAGCAGCTAGAACTATGCTTAAGAATTTGGACAGCCAGATACATTGCTTGATTTGGCTTGTCTTCATCTTCACTAAAGATTCAAGGTGTACATGTCAAGTTCTATGATGCTCCAAACATCAACATAATGTATACTCTTCTTCCCACAAAATTACGACCTTAAATTTCATTTCCAGGGTATTTTATTTTTTCATGCTCCATTAGTTAACAATTCATTGTTTACTAAAACCATAGAAAAGAAACCAATTAATAGAGATAGAAGTAATACTGTATTTACATTTTAAAGATTTGTTTCAAGACTCCAGTTGAGACGGAAAAATCTCCTTGCTAGAACTAAAGGAATACAAGACCTTTTACTAGCACATTAGTTTTTCCAAGACTTCTCTGTTGCGTTTTTCACCTCTATTTTTTCAAATTAATCTGTGATCCTTCCTCCATTCAGTAATATATAGATTAATCAATAGTCATTAATAAAAACATTAATTCAACTTATTTATTTTGGAAGAGAGGAATTATAAGCGTTAAATGGTGTGTTTCAAGGCCTACGCCTAAATACATTATGAAATCCCAAGGAGACAATGTAAATTCCATCATTGCAGCTGCATCAAATATTCTTGGTCCATCGCAAAAAAAGGCCATCAAATTAAGTTTAAGAGCTGAAATCTAGCACTTCATAGAATGTTCAAACTATAAAAGTCAAAACACATGGAGCACGAAAAGTGACCTATTTGGACTCGGAAGCTTTTGCAAGCAGCATGATGTCCCCATAGGAATAAGATGTTTGTACAGTTATAGTAACCAATCAAGACTCAGCAACAATCCAAGACCAGACTAGAGATATGTTGTCCAGCAAACCAAACAAGTCAAGTGTTAGTTTAGCTTGTTGTAACAGAGTGAGTTAGGTAGATATTTTCGTTAGATATTTTGTAAACATGTGGAGTGTATATAACGTACTGCATCTCTGAGTTTTCAATTTAATGAAAGTCATTCAGTTTCAATAACTTCTTCATGTGTAACATTAAGCGAGGTAGCTATAGCATGGCTAGTTTGCATATATCCATCACGGATGAATTGATAGATTAAAATCTCAATATCCACAAATAACTTAGAGAGAATGATATAAATACTCAAGGCAGCTCAACTGGCAAATCAAGACAAATCCAAAATGGAGTGTGCTGTTAGATAATCATCAAGTTCACAAAAATAGGATTCTTTTCCGTATTAGTGCAGAATCAACCATTGTGGAGCCAGAAATGTCCATTAAACAATTCACCACTGATATCAACCTTCAATTATACATAATGTACACTAATAAACTTGTGTAATACACAAAACTGGATAAAGTAATTTATAGTTACCAAATTACAAATACCATAATGAAAGCAAAAACCACAATAGTTAATTTTTACAAAAATCTAATAACTGACCGCTTGCATCACTAATACTAAAATTCCATAAATGCTAATAAAGTTAAACAATTGATTCCATAAATCATAAATGTATAATATTTTCCTTCATTAAAATTTTGAACAAATTTAATTCAGATATATCCTTTGAACATAAGGTTTGTTTAGTTAATTTAGTTGAAGAAAACAACACCCACTGTGTTTGTTGACAATTCCTTTTTAATGCCACAAGTTCTCCTCTCTTTTTTTTTCCACATTTTTTAAATATAAGCGCAAATCCTCTCCTAAACAGTCACATAATGCCGCAATCATCTCCTTGGATATTAGGATAATAGTGACGTATAAGGTGGGTAACACGTGAACATCTACAAAAGAATTCAAAGAAAGAAGAAAATGAAAAAGAATAACTAAAATATTAGAAGGAAAAAAGGGGTAACATGATTATATATTAATCTCTATGCTTTAATTGTATCTCTGAGTTTTCAATTTAATGAAAGTCATTCAGTTTCAATAACTTCTTCATGTGTAACATTAAGAGAGGTAGCTATAGCATGGCTAGTTGGCATATATCCATCACGGATGAATTGATAGATTAAAATCTCAATATCCACAAATAACTTAGAGAGAATGATATAAATACTCAAGGCAGCTCAACTGGCAAATCAAGACAAATCCAAAATGGAGTGTGCTGTTAGATAATCATCAAGTTCACAAAAATAGGATTCTTTTTCGTATTAGTGCAGAATCAACCATTGCGGAGCCAGAAATGTCCATTAAACAATTCACCACTAATATCAACCTTCAATTATACATAATGTACACTAATAAACTTGTGTAATACAACAAAACTGGATCAAGTAATTTATAGTTACCAAATTACAAATACCATAATGAAAGCAAAAACCACAATAGTTAATTTTTACAAAAATCTAATAACTGACCGCTTGCATCACTAATACCAAAATTCCATAGATGCTAATAAAGTTAAACAATTGATTCCATAAATCATAAATGTATAATATTTTCCTTCACTAAAATTTTGAACAAATTTAATTCAGATATATCCTTTGAACATAAGGTTTGTTTAGTTAATTTAGTTGAAGAAAACAACACCCACTGTGTTTGTTGACAATTCCTTTTTAATGCCACAAGTTCTCCTCTCTTTTTTTTTCCACATTTTTTAAATATAAGCGCAAATCCTCTCCTAAACAGTCACATAATGCCGCAATCATCTCCTTGGATATTAGGATAATAGTGACGTATAAGGTGGGTAACACATGAACATCTACAAAAGAATTCAAAGAAAGAAGAAAATGAAAAAGAATAACTAAAATATTAGAAGGAAAAAAGGGGTAACATGATTATATATTAATCTCTATGCTTTATGAAATTAGTTCAAGATTGACCTCATTTAAAATAAAATTTTCAAAAAGTCTGATTAATAATTTCAGATTCACAAATTTCCAGTGAGGTTACTTGACCCAACTTTGTTATACATGGCTCTGCCCCTAAGAATCAAGGCAATACACCAACAGCTACTAAAAGAATACAAAAAGGGACAAATTTCCCAAACTAAAGACTGACAATAGGAAACTATTCCTCCAATTGTAATAAGATAACATAGTGCACATAGAAGACACGAGCGCTGTTGCATGTGCAATTACACCCAATTTTAATAGGTACATATGCCATTTGTTTAGAACCAAATAACATGAAAAACGTAGACAACACATGAATGAAAAACTCTTTGACATGGATTTATCTTAAATATATACGAGGAACAAAATTTTCGTTTGTTTCCATTGAAATGGCCGAAATGTTTCCATTTCCCAAGAGACCGAAACGAAACACTAATGGAATAATAAATTCTAGTGTTTTCATTGAAACACATCAAAACATAGTGAAACACACTGAAACATAGTGTGATATACAAAAAGAGTAAATTGTATCTAAACAAATTTAGAAATTTTCATAAACATTTATTACTGTTGCTTAAGTAAACTTTTAGTCCTTATTGAAAACTTTTGTTTAATAAATTTGAGTTATTTAACAATACTTAATAATTTTAGTTCATAGTAACATTAGTTTTTTAATTCTTTTACGTGAATGACTATATGAATCTCAATTTGTTTAATTAATCAATTATTAGGCTTTTATACATTTAGATATATTTGAATTTATATTTTCAAACATTTCTATTTTATCTTCGTTTCATAAAATATTTCCGAGATGTTTTGTTTCTGTACTATTTGAAACAACACACCCAAACAAAATTTTGATCTTTGTATATATATATATTATTATTTGAAATCCCAAGACCAGGAATCATCAATTTGCTGATTCTTTGAGCACGGATGCGAGAAAAAAAAAAAGGGCAGGCTTCCACACACAAATGCAGTAGACATAACATCACACAAATTCAATTACAATATTTTTACAGTGTGTTAAACATCCACTGGTTCTGAATGGCTCAGGGAGATTAAGCATATGAAATACAAAATATGTTAACAATACACAAAAAATTAACAAATTGTATGTAATGTGCCCATTAAAAACTTTGATGTATAAGAATATACTTAATATTAAAATATCAACTAAAGCCAACAAGGCAGCAAAGATTAATCAAATAATGTCGATTCATCCTCTGAGCAAAATGGGTGGCATTTTCCTACTAATTTTCAAGGGGTAAAACAACAGGAAGATACTCGACCTATATAATTTAATAAATGACTTCAGTCAACTTTTTACAACATACAAGTAATTCAGTAACCAAAATTTAAATTATAATGTAGTCAAGAACACATTATATAAAAGCATGTACATTTGAGCTAATGAATAATTAGCATTTTCCTACTAATTTTCAAGGGGTAAAACAATAGGAAGATACTCGACCTATATAATTTAATAAATGACTTCATTCAACTTTTTACAACATACAAGTTATCCAGTAACCAAAATTCAAATTATAATATAGTTAAGGCCACATCATATAAATGCATGCACATTTAAGCTGATGAATAATCAGTATTGATGATTTGCGAGAGTGAGTTAGTTATCAAAAGAAAAATAGCAAATTGGGGCATCACTGTAACAACCTATATATATGAATTGCCACCTCATACAACATACTACCCAAAAATTTTACAAACAAAAATAGTGGGGGAAGCCAAGCTCACTACATTTTCACTATATGCAACTATAGATAAATAAAAAATCACTCAACATACCTCCATGAAATTGTGAAACTATGAAGAAACTATGAACATTCTAAACATGAGCTTTCCCAAAGCTATATTTCCCCTAAACAAAATGAAAGGCCATATGATGCAAGTTAGGTAAAGATATTACAAAAGACAACACCAAAACGGTTTCAACTCAAGAAAATTCTTACCAGGATTGGTCAAAGTGTACAAGGGGATAGCAAACAATCACTGGATGGACAGGATATCCAGGGACAAATGCACCAAGCTAGAAAGAAATGTGAACTCTTCCATTTGTTGTGGTTGCCTCAGAAATAAAAGCAGACGAGGAAATCTATCAGAAGAAGCATTTCTTTGTATTTAGATCCTTGAAAGCACATTTCTGTATCAAATAATCCCTCATAGATTGATAAAACTTAATACTCTAAATTTTTTTTCAGACAAAAAATGTAACGACTCCAGATATACAATTAAAATTGCTTTCAGTTTCCATATTTATTAAACAACTCACAAAAATGAAATTTGGACACTTGATATGCATATATTTGTTTATAACTTTTTAAGTTAGCTCTTACTACAGCAAAAAAATTGTTTAATTTTTCTAAGCATTTGCAAACTACTTACATCACAGCATTTCATTGTCTTTCTTTCTTTTTTTTTTTCTTTTTTTTTCAAAAAAATTCTCCCTTCAACAAGAATTTGTACCAGCTTAATCACTTTCAATCTGACTTTTCCCGTTCACTATATAGGCAACAACTTAAAAAATACAAAAACATTTTATTAATGACTAGCCCAGAAAACCCAAAAACTAAGGTTTGGTTTCCATAATCAAAAATCAATTTTGAAAGATAATTTTCTAAAAATTTGTTTGGCTGTATATTCTAAAAATAATTTTCAAAAATTTAAAAATCCAAAACTCATTTAGTTTTTAGAATCTGAAATAATTTTTGAAACTCTGTTTGGTTTTGGAGTACTCAAAAATAATTTTTAAGTTTCAATCTGTATTTTATTGTTTTTAGTGAACTTTTTAAGTATTTAATCAAGGTTTTCAAGTCTTTAGATCCACTCAATCAAAATACACCTAAAATGTATAAAATTTATGAAAAAAATTGTTTAAAATATCACTAATTTATGAAAAAAATTGTTTAAAAAATCACTAAATATTAATAAATATACAAATTTAATACATTTTTGTATGTATTTTGTATTTATTAAATTTTTTTAAAGATTTTTTAAAGATTTTTTAATTCTTTTTAAGTATATGTAGATTAGATGCATCTAAAAAATAAAACAAATTAGCCAATATATTAAAAAAATACGAATTAAAAATTTTAAATTTTTTTTTGAAAACTCCAAAACCAAACAAAATTTAAAAAATTATTTACTCATTCCATAATGGTCCTCCAAATTTAAATTTAACATATTTTTTTCATTATTTTCAAAAATATTTTTTATTAATTGAAAATACAAATTCATTTTATTTTAAATTTTTATATGAATTCGCAAATAACTTATTCATCCAAAAAAATTCGATTAACTTGAAAATATGATATACTGCATACTTCAGCGATCCATCATTCAAAATTTTTTTGAAAATCAATAAGCAAAAAGACATTAAAAATTAGCAATGATAGAAATCTTTACTATCAATTAGATTGCTTGATTAAGTTTTTTTAAATTTGTAAAAGTAAAAAAATAAAAATTAAAAACACTTAGATGGTGTTTGGAAAGTGAGTTTTTATGTAGGTTTTTTTAGATGTAGGATATTATTGAAGAAATTTTTTTTTTTTTTTGTGTTTGGGAAGATAGTTAAATTTTTTTGTGGTTGGATGTGATATTTGTGAGAGAAAAAGTGAAATGATTATGGGGTTGGATGTGATATTTTGTTTGGATGTTTTTTTTTTGGTTTTGCAAAATTTTTGTCTTCTAGTGAAAAAAATGAGAAAAAACCCAACCACAATTCTTCCCAAACACCACCTTAATGTTTTTCATATGATTTTTTTGTTTTTAAAATCTGAAAATATTTTTTAAATGTTTATATTTATAAAATTAGTTTATGTTTTGATACCTGGCAATTTGAGTGCTTGTAAAACTGCGGTGGGAATCTCCGCAACAGAGCTTATCACTCATCAAAAACATCGACTTCAGGTATGTGAGCTAAGTGGGGCCAATATTTGCCTTTCCCCTTTTCACACTTCCTTGCTAGTTTCCGACTTCCACGGATCCACAATCTCTCAAGTGAGGGAGGCAACCTTTGCACTGGTAAAGATTTGAGCCTAGGGCAATCCCAGATTGCAAGAGATTCAAGAGAGGCGAGGTTTTGAAACAACTTAGAAGATAACTTCTCCAGATTTCGGAAATCCACGATCCAAAGATAGATCAGAGAGGTGGGCAGCAAATTCCCATCTATCGGAAAGCTGGACCCCGCTACACCTTCTTCTTCTTCTTCATCCTCTTGAATCCACAGTGATGTAAGAGAGGATAAACTGTGCAAACCAATCTTCTTGAAATTGTTGTTCCATTGTGAAATATTTATCTCCAGCGATTGAAGAGAAGTGAGGTAGTTGATGCTCTGCAATCCGTGTGGTAGGGCCTTGAGTTTTTTGCATCCCCTGATCTCCAAATGTGCCAGATTTGTTGCGAAGTGGAACCATCCCTCCGGAATGTACTCCAAATTCTTACACCCTTTCAAGTACAATTGACTGAGATTCCTGAGATTATTATTATTATTAGGAAGGGCATCTGGCAAGTATTTGAGCCTATCACAATCAGTGATCCAAACAGACTCAAGAGATGGACAGGTAATTTCCATCCCTTCCTCTACTACTAGCAGAGCCTCCAACTTTTTACACCTCCAAATCTCAAGCTCTTTGAGTGTGGGTGGTAGCCCCCCACCTCTGCACGATATCAAGCTTGTGAGGGATGGACAATGACGAACATCTAACACTTGAAGATTACTGTCATTAATCTGTGTTAAACACCCGAATAAGGATTGCAGAGCCTCACAATCACCTATCCTGAGTGTTTTCAGCGTGCACGGAAAACCTGCCTCCGGAAAAGAGCTGAGACTCGGACACTTATAGACATACAACTCTCCAAGAAAAGTGAAGTTATGTAGCAGCCGTGGCAGTTTCTCCAGCTTTTCACAATTATCTATTGTTAGATGCTCAAGCCTCCTCACTATGCAGGGGAGTCCCTCTTGTTGCTGCTGCTGCTGCTCATGTTGCCCTTTGTTGTCTTCATCCTCATCTTCTTCAAACAAAGAAACAAGCTGGGGGCAGCCTTTAATTTTCAAACGCCGGAATGCAGGGAGACTCAGACTGTGTTGCACTCTCTCCTCGTTCTTCCACAATGTCTTGAGTTCTTCACAGCATGTGATCTCCAATGCTTCGAGTTCCATCAGCCCAGGAGTAACCCATTTCGGCAAGAGCTCGAGTTTCTTAATCATCCCAATGCTCAAGGAAGTTATTGAACTCGGATGCTTAGACTTTGCATTTGCTGATATCAGTTCGTCATCGACCATGCTCCTCATCTCAAGGACCGCTTGAAGGCTTGTTAGAGGAACGTCATTCATAGCTATAGAGGTGAGTGACGGGTAGACAACCTTGGAAACTTCAACTAGCAATTGCGGGCACTTCTTAATCTTTAGATTATTCAAACAAGGTAGATAACTTGGCAACATTCCAACAAGTTTAGGACAATTTTCGATGGAGAGCTCACTAACATGAGTAAATGGTTCAACTTCCTTATCATCTTCAAAAGTATACCAATACTCCCATTCCGGCATATCCTTAAAGCTTAGAGTCTCCAGTAATTGAAAAGGTTTGGCACTACCCTGCCCGTAAAACTCATGATCGACATGTTTTAGTACACTCATTCCTTTAATGTAAAGCTTTTTGAGCGAGGGTAGTTGTCCGAGTGGTGGCAAGGATACACAATTTCCACAATTATCTAAACTTAGGTCAGCCATATTGGAGAATAGAGGATCTCCTATCCAATTCGGAAATCCTATACCAAGGTAGCCTTCGATATGGAGCTCTTTTAAATTCTTGTGAGGTTGTAGCATATCAAGCACTTCTGTTTCAACTCTTCCATCTCGTGAATCATCTGAGTTAACACTCCATTCCATTGATAACACATCTAACCCCTTCTTATCATTTAAATTTGCCTTCCTTGCATCTAATGGAACCACCACGTTCTGTAACCCAGATAGGCAAAGCTTCCCCCGAAGATAAATTAAATTCCCCAACTCTCTTAACCAATGCCCATTGTTTTTAGTAACAATGAAATTGGACAGTGTTTGAAGACTAGCCAACTTACGTATTCCCAATGGCATTTCTTTTAAGGAATGTGCATTTGTAGTATCGAGATGACGTAGGTCAATTAGGTTTCCCAAGTCTGTTGGCAACTTTTTCAGTTGTCTACATCCTCTTAACATCAATGTTTGTAGATTGTAAAGAGAGCCTAGTGATTCAGGTAATTCTTCAATGTTAGTGTTGGATAGGTTAAGATACCGCAGATGTTTCAAATCTCCAACAGAATTTGGAACTTCTGTGATGCAATATCTACTCATATTGAGCACCCTCAAGCGTCTTAGCTTCGGCAATAGATTAACGGGAACATTGCTTGCCAAATGACAATTCACACCATATGGTAAGTTAAATGGTAAGAAGGTTCGTAAATGCATGGCTTTGTTGAAAATCTCAAATTTTTTGATACCCTCATATTGCTTCCGCATATAAGATGAATGTCGAGCTTTCTTTATAGTCTTGCACTGCTCTGGATATTTCAATATATCCTCCAATCTAAAACAAGTTTCTCTTGCAACTACTTGAGCCAAATCATTGATGAGGTCGGGCATAACAAATTTAGAGCTTTTACCAGTACTTGATGGTTGGAAAAAAGACCGTGACAACAATTCCCGAAAGTACTCACCTCCTACATCTTCCATTTGCTTCTCTCTTTGTTGCTGAATGAAGCCCTCCGCCATCCACAACAAGACTAGTTCCTCTTCCTCAAATTCATAGTCGTTGGGTATTATTGAGCAGTATGCAAAGCACTGCTTCAAATGCGAAGGGAGATCATGATAGCTTAATCTCAAAGCAGGAAGGATGTCACTTTTTGTGTGTGGTAAATCCCATATTTTACTACGCAATACATTTATCCATTCCTCATCTCGTACTTTGCTGCGTAAAAGGCCACCGAGTGTCCTAGCAGCTAGAGGCAAACCTTTACATTTCTCCACAATTTCCTAAAAAAAAAAAAAAAAGAGCCAATGTATTAAAGTATTTTTGTATATCTACTCAATTAATATATATATATATAGGGAGCAGCTGTTCGGCTCTTGGGAGTCCACCACGGGTCCCGTTTTGATAATCTGAACCGTTCAATATGTAAATCTCGTCGAGTACTATATGCTCATGAAAAATCATGTTGATCGGATATCGATAGCTATGTGATCAAATCAATTTTGTATAAAACAAAATGGACGGTGAACAAATTAACGATTGACAAAAAATTAATCTGATGAGATAGCTATCGATATCCGATCAACGTGATTTTTTACAGGCATATAGTACTCAACGAGTTCTATACATTGAACTGTTCGAATTATCAAAAAGAAACCCGTGGTGAGCTCCCATGGACCGAACAGCACCATTCAATTTGATCTCAAACCAGAGGTAAGCTGCTTTGCGCCTATGAGATTAACTATTTGGCATGACTTAAAAAGCATATATATATATATATATTATCTTTTTATTATTTTAGGTCATATTATTTATTTTTATTTTTTTACATATTTAAAAAATAAAAAATATGTAAAAAAAATAAAAATTAAAAAGTATACTTATTTAAATTATCTCAAACATCCTCTAAGAATTTTGTGATTTCCAATGACAACAGGACATGTATGAAAATGTAAAACTCATTCCGATCAATCCCAGTAAGGTTGATGGTCAGTTAAGTTGATTTTTGTTTTTTTTTTAATCTATTCATGAGTGATCAACATTCTTCATCATAACTTTTCCTTCTTTTTTTTTTTTTTTAAATAAAAAAATGTAAGTTCCATAAAATTTATTTTACTATTAAAGAATGATTGCCCCATTGACATCATTTTATTTTTTAAAATAATATTTCAAGGTGAAAATTTTAATGAAAACTAAAAAATTGCATTTTTATTTTTTTTTATTTTTCTATTTAGTGAAGTTTTTTTAAGAATTTTTTATTTTTCCAGTTCGTCTAGTGTAGAAGAATTTAAAAAAATTCAAAAAAAAAAAAAAATTCATCAAAAAACCAACAATCATTTACTCTTGCTTGTCTACAATAGAATTTTTATTATTTATTTTTTGTTTTTTATTTTTTAAATTTTATGATTTGTCTAGTTGAGTGTTACCTAAAAATCTAAAGTTATCCAGATAAAAAAAAAAAAAAATCACTAAAGATTCAAAAAAATTAACAAAAAAGTCACTAAAAAAAGTCAATCCCTAACAATTAATAAGATTTTCAATATCAAAATTGTGAGAAAAAATTATAGAAATTTTTAACATCAAACACCCAACAAAAGTTATACTTTCCAAAATAGTTAAATTATAAATAATAGATGGTCTATCTAAAATAATTACTTATATTATTTCATTTTCAAATAAAAAACGAACATTTATTTATTTTATTAAAAACATTATAATATTAAGTTAATATAATTGATCAAACAGTTTGCATGATTGCATATCTCAAATCCGTCTTATTATGTTTAAAGGAACAACTAGGGCTGAGCAAGGAATCCGTGAAATCCGTAATCCGATCCAGTCCAGTCCAATCCGATAGGTTTGGATTGGTTTTTTGAATCCGCGGTTCGGTTCCGGATTGAATAATTAAAAATCCGTAGTTCACGGATTGGTTCCGAATTGAATCCCACGGTTCCGGATTGGAACCGATCCGGACCGTATACAAATAGTCTATATTTTTATTATACATCCTCCCCCATAGTATCTTTTCTTATTCTATGTAAAATCTAAACTCAAACCTAAAACCGTATAATATCTTCTTTTATTACTTTTGTTTGTTAGTTTTAAGTTTTAATTTGCAATGGTCTAAATACTTATAGTGAAATTAGTTTTCTTATGGTTGTTTAAATTCTAGAACAGTATGTCGTTATTATAGAAAAACATGTTGCTATTATGGAACTAATATAGCGCTATGTTTATATTTTTATGAAATTCAAATGTTATATATATATTTTTGTTATTTAATTATGTGAATCCGTGGTCCTAAACCGATCCAATCCGTATTTAAATGGATTGGTTCGGATTGGTTCCATGATTTAAACGGATTGGATTGGTTCCAATTTTTTAGGAACCGTAAATAACGGATTGGTCCTGGTTTTACCCCAATCCGGTCCAATCCGGACCATGCTCACCCCTAGGAACAACGGATATATTAGAGGAGACACCGTCGAAAAAATTATAGTGGTATTTGAAAAATGAAAGAAAAAATTATATTATTTTCCTGACATTTTTTTTAATAAAATTCTGAAATGATAAGGTAATTTAGAAAAATAAAAATAAAAATAATTAATCAAAAGGATTAAACAGAATTTAAAAATAAATTATCTAATAATCTTGTAAAAAAATATAAATAATTTGCATTTTTTATAAACATTTTTAGAATGATTTAGAAACCAAAAACTTAATTTATTTTTTTGAAATATTTTTAAAAAGTTATATTGTAAGGAACTTTGAATACATTTTCTTATTAATTAATAAGTCAATAATGTCATATTCTTTCATCTAAAATTTACTTTAATTTAGTTTCTATTAATTAAATATTTATGAAATATTACTCTATTATGAAACCCAATATATTCCTTCCATGAGTATTTTTATAATTTATATATCTATATAATAAGGGAAGAAGGTTTTTGAATATTTGATGGGACTTTTGTTTATTTGTCAAAGTATGAACCGTTAGATTGGTTCAATCCCATGGTTGAAAATGTTTCCCTCACCTGGACATTTCAATGGTTCAGATTTTTTGGGTGAATATGAAGGGTTGAGATCAGTTTTCCGTTTAGCTTTTAGATTTTACACAGACATGTTGATTTTACACAAACATCAGTTTTCCATTTCAATGTTTCTCTCACACCTCTTCCTCTTCCCACCACATATCTTCCTCTTTCCACCAAGCTTTCTCTCTCCGGTGGTGATTAGCTCTGACAGAATATAGCCTCGGTGGTGATATCCGGAATCTCTGTCTCCTCTCTCCCTACACAGCTCCAAGGTAGAAAGCTATCCTCCATGTTATTTTTTGTTGTTTTTTTTTAGGTGGTGTAAGAATCTAGGGTTTCCCCCCTCTTCTATTTCCAGAATATTGCTCCATCTGCCTCAATATCTTCTTCTATTTCTTCCCCTTCTATTTGGGTTTTGAAAATAGGGGTGGAAGTTGTAGTGATTAACCCTAATGAAATCTAGAAAACCCAATATGTTGTTTTAGTGATTAACCCTAATAAAATCCATAATCAATATGTTGTTTTAGTGATTAACCCTAATGAAATCCATAATCAATATGTTGTAGAACAACAATTCTAGAACAACAAATTGATTATGGATTTGTTCATAAACCCAAATAGAATTGAGTACAGAGACATAAAATTGGGTATTATGAAATTTGTTCATAACCCTAACCATAAACAAATAGAATTGGGTATTATGAATTGGATCCACTGTAACATAAAATTGGTTTAAAGTTGTATGTAAATGCTAGGTTTTGAATTTCTAGAATTGGGTATTATGAATTTCTTTTGTATACATAAAATTGGTTTAAAGTTGTATGTAAATGCCAGGTTCTGTTTATGGTCAGTGATTGAGTTGCAAAAGAAGCACATTTTGCCCCTGTTTTTATGATTTAATGATTTAATTCATAACTAAAGTTCTAGAAGTTTTGAGGAGTCTATTATGTCTTCCATTTGAAGAGGGGGAAAAAGAAAGAAAGAATGTAAAGACTGAATGTAAAGAATGTAAAGATTTGATATTAATTCATAACTAAAGTTCCAGAAGTTTTTCTCTCACTTCCCCCTTCTCCCTCTTCTATTTGGGTTTTATTTATTTTTTCTTTCTTCCTGTTTGGTTGCCGAGAAAGTGGCGGCAGAAGTAGAGAAAATGAAATTTTCGTTACTGTCATTTCTGGGTTTGACTGAAAGGTTTGTTAATTTTTTTTTTTTTTTGGGTTTTGTACTCAAGAACAAGTGTTAATGTTCTTAATTGTTACAGTGGACCGGAGACAAATTCAACTCTATTTAAATTCTAAATATTTTTCTAAATAAATCATATTTATGAAGAAAGAAATACCAGCTTCTTTTTTAAGTGTAACACATTAACCCCAATCATCCATTCAGGAGGTGTGTCTCTTAGTCTTAGATATGGATATCTCAAGGAGATGAAAAGAGCTTGAATTTATTGACTTTGTTCTTGGCTTTAAACAAGGTCCTTTGAAACTTTCTCTAATTTCAACTTCAGCACCAAAGAAAGCAAAATGACTACTCCAACTTTCAAAAGTTGTAATGTAACAATCACTGATTTGATATAGAAAACAATAACCCTCACTAGCTGTTTCCAACCCCACTTCTTTATCCCTTCTTTTCATTGCAATTAGAATTGAAACTTTGTCCATTTATTTTATTTAATGTCATTCTATATTTACCTCTGTTTCACATGGCTCCATGTATTCCCTTGCACCAAACAATATCACTTCTTTTTTAATTGAAATCAGGAACTTGGAGTTAATCAATTTAATTTGTTTATATTAATGATGCCACAAGTCTTTAGGGAGGAAGGTTAGTAATTGTAGGAACTATAGAAAGGCACACTTGGTTATTTCGTTTCTAAATAGAAAATTATTAGATACTCTAGGAATACCATGTAATATAGTTTCTTTTTTGCTTTCTACTACATCTTTCTTATAGGTTGAGGCTTTTATTTATTTATTATATCTAATTTCCTTTTAATAAAAAGCTTTTCCTATAATTTACAGGTGGACGAGACTTAAACCCAGGTAAAACTCTATGCTTATTCATTTTCTCAAAATTTTCCCTTCGCATACTATTTTTGATTTGATTATATATAGGTTATAGTCAAACTCTTATGTTTTTGTGTGTCGCGATTATATAGCATATTCTGTAATTTTGCCAGTAGAATGTTTGATAAAATATCAAGTGGAAGCATAGGCTTGACTGCCTTCAGAGTTTTTGTGCTTTGAATTTGGTATGGTAACTCTCTCTATTTTATATCAAATAATACTTTCGTGAGATGCAGTCTGGCTTTGCAATATTTATGGCAAACGATGCCATGGCTTTGACCCATTTTCGTAATAGGATGGTGAAAGAACATATTGTGGATGACTTTGACCATTTTAATTTGATCTTAATTTTGTTTTCTCCAATTGAACCCGTTGCTCCATAAATGTTTTGGTTAGCAGATTGGTTTTCCATTGTATATGGAATTTTAATGAGAATGCTGTGAGTATGGGAAAAGGTCATTGGAGTTATTCCCTTCCCAAATTCGCATTTCATTTTTTATAATCTGTTTTCAGCAATGGGGTATCTTTATAATAATTCCATCCTTAAAGAAAAGGATGGTCGGGATAGCTAATAATGTTCTTTTACATATTTTTTGTATTCCTCCGATTGAAAGTTAGGTTGCAGTGTGTGCCTCTACAGCTTGCTTCTACTCTATGATAAGTTTTTGATCGGTCATGCTAATTTGGGTCTGATGAAAATGAGCAACCTTGGTTATGGTGATGAAGTTGATGTCATTACTAGGTTGTGAGCTACTTATCAATTATGACAGTTAGCAAAATTGGTGAGTACTCTATTGAATTTGGTAATTCTGTTAAACCCAGTGAAGGTTGACAAGTGCTACCGCTTGAGAAATCCCAATAAACAATGTTATCAGTTTTTTTTTTTTTTGTTGGGATTGCCTTCAGGCACGAGTTATAGGCTAGGAGAGCTTAGGCATCATTAGCTTTACAGTTATTTTTGCCCTTTTGTTGATGAAGAATCTTATCTTCATTTGTTATTTTCAAGTGTATGGAACTATGCAGTTCATTTTCAAGTGTAAATTTAAAACTTTGTCATGTTTATATGTGAAAGTAATTTGTGAATATCCTAATACACTTTTTGAATATTTGTTTTGATAGTTAAAAGAAGTTTCTTTACCCATAAAGCGTCTTTTGACTATGTGTAGTAGTGTAAGCACATGCATTGCACGCCAATAAATTTATATTAGTGCAAAGCTAGGAGTTTGAGGGCAGAATTTATACTATTTTTGGTTTTATCATTGCCAAATTTTGAAAGTGATTGACATTGTATAAAGTTAAAGATTATTTAGAGGCAGATTGATGTTGTGTAAACTTATTTAGGTTTGGTTTGGTTTGGTTTGAGAGGTAGACATTTGGAGGTGTCTGCTTGGATTTTGATCAAGAACACCATTTTCGTATTGGCATGGGGTGCTCCAAAGGGAGAACACCATTTTGTTATTCTTCTTATTTTGAAGTTGTATTTATAATAAAGGGTATCCTCTTGCTCAAATGCATGCTATCTATTCATTTTGTGTGTCATGGGTAAACAGAGTTTTAGGTATATTTGATCGTCATTTTTCCTAACTTAAGAGAGAATGATAAATGAAAACTATTAAAAAAAAAAAAACATTATTTACACTGTGTCTTCAGGCACGGGCATACATTAGTTTATTAAGATTGCAGAGCACTTGCTGGTGTGTTTTATTTGATGTCCAGTAAATTTTTTTTTATTTTTTATTATTGAATGTTAGCAACTGTACAATAGCTTTGATTTGTATATTTTGTTTAGTGTTAATAATTTTTTTTTGGCTTACTCTTATATTTTGAACATTTTAAATCTTATATGTTTGTTTCTTAATTTGCATTAAGGTTAGTGGAGTTGTTATTTTATTTGAGTTCTGTAGAGCGTGTGATACAAGTAAAATTATTACAAGTTCTTTAAGAAAAATAGTATTTCTTTATATTTTTTCAATATTTTTATCAAAAAATACTAAAGATTCCATAACTTTTAACATGATACGTATGAATTATAATTATATTTTGATTACAATATTATTTACACCGTGCCTTTAGGTATGAGCATACGCTAGGTATTGTTCAATTTATTTTTGAAAATGTTATAAATAAAATATACTTTTTTTATTTAAATAATTTGTGTCAAATTTTTCCATTTTTTATTTTATTTTATTTAAGGGTCTTATATTTTATTTTGTTTTCCAATTTTTCTCTCCTTCATTTTTGAAGTGCATGATGGATCATACTATTTTATTTTATTTTTGTTTGTGTTTAATTTCCTTATATTGGGACTGAAGAGTTTCTTTGCACATTGATATTCTGATTATTGGAATTGTTGGGCTTCAAGGTCGTTTCTTTGTTTCCGGAGTGGTATACTTCAATCACTAATTGTTATTTGTTATTTGTGTTCAAATGAGGTCTGATTTTCTCTCTATCGGGCTTTTCTGTGGTTGTGTCTGTTCAAACCCCAAAATAGAAGATTAATCCCAATGTTTTACTGAATGTTTCTATAAATTTCAATGCTCTGACTTCTTAGTTGAAGGTTTATATAAATTTTCTGAATTTTCTATACCCTACTCTTTGAAAAGAAAAAATGTTTGTTCAAGGGCAGTTCATAATTTTTTGAATTTTCTATAAATTGGTGTATTCACTCCCTACTCTTTCAAAATAAAAATAAATAAATAAATAAATATTCCTTTAACATAACCTATGACCACCAAAACTCTTAAAACAAAAAACAAAAAGCAAAGAAAAGGCAAAGAAAACTCTTCAACTTATATTCTCATAGGCATTTTCATTTTAGTAGAAATTAACTTGAAGTTCTTGATGCTTGCATTTCCAATAGTCTACATGGAAATTTAGTATTATCCGTGTATTGAGCATGACCATCTTGGTAGGTAATTATTCACCCAAAAAAATCTTGGCAGGTAGTTTCTTTCGTACCAGGGATTGCATCATTCTGCCATAGCATTCATTTCATTATTTCCATTGCATAATTTACTACAACATCACATTAAATAGATGCCACAACCAATGAAGGAAACTGTGGGTGCATAATATGATGAAAGAATCTGACACTGAGGCCCCTGAAAATTCCAGTGTCAAGTTCCAGCTTTCTCACTAAATTTTGATTTTATTAATTTTTTTTCCACTTCAGGTTCTTTTTCTTTTTCTTTTTTGATATGATTGTTTTGAATTTTTTTATATTTTGGTTCTTCTCTATATGCAGAAAAGCATTTGCTAATGCATTAGCAGCAGCGCCATCCATGTGGACTCTTGGAAATGCAGGCATGAGAGCATTGCAGGTTTTTAATTTCTTGAAACAAATGACCTTTTGGAGCCTTCTCATCTGTCCAAATTTGAAAAAAATTCATTGAAGATAAAAATATATATATATATATATATAACTTATTTAGTTGTTGCCAAACAAAGGTTGGTTAACATTGCCTTTTTTTATTTTTTATGGCGTCTTGATTCTCATACCCCCTCTCTCAACCCATTTGGCTTCACAGCTCCAATGGCTTCCTCCATGCCCAAACAACTTGGAGAGCTTCTCCAAGAGCAACAAGAGCCTTTCATCCTTGAGCTCTACCTGTTTGAGAAAGGGTATCTGAGAAACAACTTCAATTCAGAGACCAACTTTCATTGCTGCTTTGGCAATCCAAGCAGCTTCTTGAAGAGGTCAGCTAGCTGGGGTGGTCTAAGCAGAGAAGAAAAGCTATTCTAAGCTGTTCCAAGATTGTACAACTTCTGTGTTTAACCAGATTGTATCCATTACTAATGTGCTTTATTATATGGATTTAGTATTTTTTTTTTCTTTTTATTATAGATTTAGTATACAATAACTTTAATTTATGTTTTTTGTTCAGTGTTTATAATTTTTTTTACTTGCTCTTATATTTTGATTTGTAATATTAGTGAACATTATAAATCTGATATGTGTTTATTAATTTGCATTAAGATTAGGGGAGTTGTTATTTTATTTGAATTTTGTAGAGCATGCAATACAACCAAAATTATTACAAGTTCTTTAAGAGGAAAAATATTTCAATATATTTTTATAACAACATTGTAATCTTAATATTATTTACATCGTGCCTTTAAGCACGAACATACACTAGTATGTCTATATCAGCACTAGAACCACCGGTTGTCTCCGTTGCAAACGAATTTTCACTGACAGTTTGATTGTGATCTAACAGTAGTAAGGTAAAAATGAGAAAAAAAAATATTCAAAACAATAATTTGTCTTTCTCTCTGAATAATTTCATTAATTATTTCCTTATCTCCATAAAAGATCAATAAGTGGATCTAATGCCTCTCTTGTTCTTTATCATGGTAGGTGAACCGAAAAATTATGGTTCGAATGGCTCGAAATATCCAAAACGACGTCGTTTTGAGTGTAAAACGAAATCATTTTGACACATTTAAGCCATTCAAGCCATAAAAATTCGGGTTACCAAATATTTTCCATTACATGGGACACAGGCTTTTTAAATTATTTAAACTTAATTAATATAACTTAAAGATTTCTTCACCTAAAATAATTAATTTCAAATTGAATGCTTTCAGGGCTGGCCCTGGGCATGGGCCAACCATGCCATGGCCTAGCCCCTCAAAATAGATCCAAAAAAGGGGTCCTCTTATTATGATTTAGTGTAATATATTAGGTATGTTTTAAGTTTAAAAAAAATTAAAGAAGACTTAAACTAACTTAAAATAAATTAATCTATTAAAAAATTGAAAGGTCCATTTAAAAAAATTAACATTGTTATGAATTGAAAATAGACCCAAAAAAAGGGTCCCCTCCTATTATAGTTTATTGTAATATATTAGGTATGTTTTAAATCCAAAAAAAAATTAAGGAAGACCCAAATTAACTTCAAATAAATCGACTCATTAAAAAATTGAAAGGCCCATTTAAAATAATTAGCATTGTTACCCATTAAAAATGATTTTGTAAAAAAACTAGATTATTCAAGTATGATTGATTTATTTGCTTCTAAAAATGCAAGAAGAACGAGAATCAAGCGACACTTGTTAGTTGTAGTAATTTAATACTAAGTATTTGTTGTGATTTTGACACAAATCTTTTGTTTTTTATCTTAATTTTTTTTCATTCAATGAAGAAAAAAAAAAAAAAAAAACATGAAGAGTCTCAAAAATTTATTAGTTGATTATCGGTTTTGAATTCTAAAAATCTCAAGGCCGGGCTTGAATGCTTTAAAAAAAATTCTAACTATAAAAACACACAACTTGACCAAAAGTTAAAAAATAAAAATAAATAAATAATGAGAGAGAAAGCCAAATTATTTTCTTTATTTTATTGTATGTTCATTTGTAAGGGCTAAAGGATATGTAACCGTGTAGTTATTGTCGTTGTTATCCCTATCATCCAAAGTCTTTCATTACGCAATTTGCAAAAATGTATAGTACAAAATAGACAACGATCATGCATCCACTCATGACTAAAGATAAAATGAACGTCAACAATAATGCATCCACCCATGAATAAGTACAAAATAAATGTCAACAATAATGCATCCACCCATGAATATTTCTTACAAACAAAAATGAAGAAATCTTATTGATGATAATTAAAAGTAGTACAAATGACATCTATCACTGAAGATTGTGAGCGTAAAAAATATCGGGTAATACTAGGGACATCAAATTTTCTACCAAACAAATGACCAAATGTCTCACATGGGTGTGGGGTCCGCAATTTTGTGGACCCCACACCCATGTGAGACATTTGATCATTTATTTGGTAGAAAATTTGGGACCTCTAGCATTTTTCAAAAATATCACAACAAAATTAATTGATTTCAATTATATTGGCGCCGACTATCATTGATGGGTGACAAACCGACAGGATTAAGACACTACAAAGCAACCAACTAGTTTAAAGCACTACCACACTAGAAGCAACCAGCTAGAAAACTGCAAATCAGAAAGACACAAGCAACAACAAAAGGCACGCCGTGGACCCTACCAACTAATTATTGAAAATTAGTCAATATATTTAGTTTCAGTTTTTTAAATTCTGCTTTTTAAGAATTAAATTTTTTATTTTTTATTTTTTTTAGTGAATATTTTTAAAATTTTAAGTATTTTTTTTATTTTTTTAGATGCGTCTTACTTAGATATATCTAAAAAGTAAATATTTGCGAAAAAGTATTTTTAAAAATTAATAAATACACAAAAATATGAAAAATATACTAAATTTTTATTTTATTTTTTGTATTTTTAGTATTTTGTGAATTTTTTAATGAATTTTTTCTCAAAAATTATATTTTTTAAGTGTATTTATATTAAGTGTGTCTAAAAATTAAAAAAATTGCTTAAAATATTTAAAAAATTCAGTAAAAACAAAAAAAAAATACTGAAAATAAGAAAGTAGAATTTTCTAAAAATTCAAAAAATTGGAAACAAACATGGAATAGTTTTTCTTGACAACTTTAATTTTAAATTAAAGTGGAATTCAACTATCGGTTGAGATGAGTCCGAGAAATTTTATATTTTCTTAAGTGAAATGGTTGTAATACATAAACAATGAGCTGAAACCATTAGGTTATGAATGGAAATTGTCTCATAAAATAAGTATCAATAGAAGTTAGTCTTGGGCTTGAACCTAAGTTTGGACTTGGACTTGGACTTAGTTTTTGTCTTGGTCTAGATTGGCCTAGACTTATAGATGTGCATGTATTTCTTGGGCATAGGTTAGGTTGTGTTATGCTGAGTTAGACTTGTCTTATGCATATGTTTTAGACTGAGTTTGGATTTAGTTGTGACCCAACACCCGTATCCATTTTGCAATCCATCTGGTTGAATTATTTAAATAGCATTATCTATATTTATTTTATATATAATGCAAGGGAGGTTTTCAACCTTTATAACTCTTATATTTTGATGATAGAGTTGATGACCATATTAGTAGCTATAAGTTTTTAACCTTTGTAACTCTAGCCTTAATAGCTAGAGTTGATGGGCTTGATTAATAACAATTTGATGATCCTATTGATGTTAGCCTTCATGGCTAATGTTCTTCCCTACAAGTGTAAATAGAGACTTTCCCCTCCAACTTATTAGAATAATATTTGGAGAGGTTTTTGATAGAAAATGAGATGGTGTTTTGAGATAATAAAGTTGGAGATGATTTTTATACCAAAGGAAATTTTTCCTATCTTCTTTGTCAGCCATTTTTCTGGTTCTTATTAGAGAGAGAGTGATGCCATTGTCAAGTTCGCCGAGGCTATTTAGAAGGTGCTTCTGCATTAGCTGGTTTCAACCGTCGTATCTTGAAAAACAGACGACGATGTACTTCCAGCACCCATCGAGAGGCGGTGAATCTGTTTGAAAGAAATTTTGGTTACACAAATTTCGATTTGCGTCTCTTATCTTTTTTATTCAAACTTATAAATTTAAACTATTTCTTATATATTATTTTGTATGTCTATGTGAATCCTTCAGATAATATGTTCCATAATATAATTTAGTTCGTTCCTATATATTTAATTTTGTAGTTTATTCTGTATTTCACTCCTTAATTTTTTTTTTAAAAAAAAAATTGTTTTGTCATTTCTATTTAAATTTTATTTTATATATTTTTCTAGTATTATTTTGGAAAAATACTAACAATCTTAAAACAAATTTTTATAAATAGTTTTTGATAAAAAAATTTAGTTTTTATTATGTTCTAGTAACTCTTGCAATTAAATTTTAATTACATAGAGTTACTGGATTGTTTTGAGTTGTTTATTTCTAGTAATTTATTCATGCAATGTATTTTTATCTTAATTAGTTATTATTAAGTTGTTAGGAATTTATAAAATAAAATAAGAATTTTATTACTTAAAGTTCTTACTAATTTATTTGATTTATTTGTTTTTTATTTTCTTTTGCAACTAACTTTCTTTACAGGTTTACTTAAGCGAGAAATGAAGATATATAATGCAAATGAATAAAACAAATTGGACCTAGTAAATTGAACTACTAATTTTTGGTTTGAACATGATTATTTTTGTGTGGAACAAGAAATAATGTTGGACTTTTAGATTTTTTGTGAATTGATATATTCACTTTAATGTTGAGATTCATTTTGGATTTATTTCGTATTGTTTCGAAAGTTTGTTAATAATTTTGATTTAATTCAATTAATTAAATTCTTAAAAAATCAAAGTGTTAGAATTTGTGTTTTGAAAATTTCAAGAAATTCCTCTAAATGAGAACTTTCCGATGAACCCATACGGCTAGTGCAAAGTTTGTTGTAAAAATAATTATTTATCATCTTCTTTCTAAGCTAAAAAAACACGGTGTGTTTTTATTCTCAGGGATGACATCATGATGACACATGTGCTGACCTCATCATGACACGTGACAGATCAATCAGCGACGCAAACTTTTCAGAAATTGCATTTTGGTTCTTGAATTTTAGGATAATTTTATTTTGACCTCAAAACTTTTCTTTATTTGCATGTTAACCCCTAAAGTTTCATATATTTGCATTTTGGTCCCTAAACTTTCTAATATTTGTTGTTTGGTCCCTAAACTTCTTGTTATTTGCAATTCGACCTCTAAACTCCTAATATTTATAGTTTGACCCCTAGAGTTTATAGACTTTGCAATTTAGCCCCTAAAAGTTTATGAAATTATGAATAGTTCCTTGGAAAGTGGAAGAGTATGTTGTTGGCTAAACAGGCGATTTTAGATGCAACTGTGAACTCCAATTTTGCAGATTTGAACAGTTTATAATTGTAATAGTTGCATTTCAATTCATAGCAGTTTTAATTTCTAATTTGTAATAGTTTCACTACAGTGAAAGGAAAGAGATTATAAACCATCGTGTTTGGAGAAAATCTTTGGGATTAATTTATTATTCCCAAAGTGTTTTGATT